TACAATAATGGGCCAAGATAAAGCTCCATGCGAGAAAGTTTAACCTTCCAACCCCCTTGTCTGTCCTCATTACAACACCTGCTGGTTTAAGCGGGCCCCCTGCAAGACCAAACAATCGGGGCCATTGGCAAACACAAACTGTGGTATTGTCTTGTCCACTGAAGCACCAAGAGTGATGGATCTTAATGAGAAAGGATTAGGAGGAAATTGGCCCCGGCACTATAAAAATCCATTAGCCAAAAGTAAAAGAACGTCACTTGCTTGGTGGTTCGTGGAGAAGGAGCATCACCAGGTTCTATAGACACCAGGCTACGGGCCAGAGGACCATGAGAGGGCAGCAACGGCAACACCTGAGACGTCCGGGCCGTGGGTGGCCGCTGGTCTTTTTGGTGTGCTTCTTGACGTGTGGCTCTCGGGCTATGTACGTGGACTTTGTGAGCAGTTCCTCCAGATGTATGACCATCCCGAGGCACATGCCTCTGTGCTACGGCATTGGGTACACCGAGATGAGGATTCCCAACTTGTTGGAGCATGAGACCATGGCCGAGGTGATCCAGCAGTCTTCCAGCTGGTTGCCGCTACTGGCGCGGGAATGTCACCCAGACGCGCGGATATTCCTATGTTCGCTGTTCGCACCTATTTGCTTGGAAGGGTAAGACCCCCATTTTTTATTGCAGATATTATTGCATGAGCATGTTGGAGGAAGTCAGTGAGATCTTCATTATTAATCATTCATTCCTCAAGTATATTTATGAATACGGGTAACGTCGATGTAAACCCAATCACCGAAATCTGACATAAGCCTAAATATGTTATTGAAGAAAACAAAGTAATATGGAATCCAGGAGCCAGTCAGTCCAATCTAGGAGCCAGTCAGTCCAACCCAGGAGCCAGTCAGTCCAATCCAGGAGCCAGTCAGTCCAATCCAGGAGCCAGTCAGTCCAATCCAGGAGCCAGTCAGTCCAATCCAGGAGCCAGTCAGTCCAATCCAGGAGCCAGTCAGTCCAATCCAGGAGCCAGTCACAGTCTAATCCAGGAGCCAGCCAGTCCAATCCAGGAGCCAGCTCCATACACAACAACTAGAGAAAACGTCAGGTTAGGCGCCAGCCGTAAATTCTAAGGAGCAATGGTGACCTGGCTTCTGGGATTTGTCCAGCTCTGTAATAAAGTCATTTTCTAAATCTGCAGCTTTCATTAAAATAACAGTTGCTGGTGCCACCATGAAGGTCCTCATTCAGGCACTTCCTGTTATAGGGTGACAACTGTCTTCTAATTTTGTTTCCACATTGTCACCCTGTCACATGCCCCCTAGGTTACAAGATTGCTACAATATGGTCCACTGTTGTCACTTTAAGGGTTACTGCATCACAACTGTGTGCGTCTGCGCAGTTGCATTGTAATCCATTTCGATGCGTTTTGACGCGTCTGTGATGCGTTTTTTTTTTAAACTAAAATGCTAATTAGACAATTAGGTAACTTCCCTTTTTCCTCTCAGAGCATTTCCTTTGTTTGTTGTGGAGTTCAGACATGCTTGTTTTGTTGGCAGGTATGGTGATAGTGTTGGCTGTACCTACAAAGAGGAAGTCCCTGGATGATGACATAATCAATTCTGTGTTTGTTTTTGATGCGTTCCGGTGCGTTTGCATGCGTTTTTTTATGCGTTCCGGTGCGATCAGATGCAGCTAAAAAAGGACAAGCAGTATTTTTTCTGACTGCATCTGAACGGACTGCAATGGTGTGATTACAGCACAAGAAATCCCATAGGGAAGCATTGTGATGTATTTTGGCTGCAGCAGTCAAACTGAACGGACTGCATCACAACTGCATCTGGTGTGAACTGGCCCTTAGCCAAAGCAATGATGTGCAACAGATGCTGGAGCCAGTGCATGCAGACAGGAAGTGGCTGGAAGATGCTGGAGGAGATCAGCAGTGCTGAGATTGGAAAAAGGATGAAAAAAAGGAGAACATTTTATTTTATAGGAAAAACAGGATCTCAATTGTTTGGTATTCCCGGCGCTATAGCACACTACATGTCATTCAGTTTACATCTACTTTACAAGCTTCATTTATAAAACTTTGCATTTCACTAGCACCCCCTCTGATGGCGTTGACGAGTGTAGGAATTTCCTATACTCATAGGGGGGAATTTATCAAAACTGGAGCAGATGTGCACGGCAACCAATCAGCTTCTATCTTTCATGTTCAAATCTTAACTGAACAAACTGAAGAGAGAAGCTGATTGGTTGCCGTGCACAGCTGCTCCAGATCTGATAAATTTCCCTCATTATATAATCCTATATGGTTTTATAAATGAAGCCCTAGGTGTTAGGACACTTCCACATTATCTGATTCGTTTTCCCACTCCGGTCCGGGCAGACACCTACTCTCTTCCCACCTGCTAGCTGTGGACATCGCATCAAACAGACTGTGGAGAACATTCTGTGAGAGACACCAGGGCATATAGGCTCACATCCCAACTGTAAGTCATCAATTTGTCCCCTTTTATATGACTAATCAGTTTTGGTTGTCTGTATTGCACACTGATATACATTTTTCCAAGTTCAGCACATTGGGCCATTACTCTTATCATAGGTAGTCGCGCTCCTCAAAAACGAGTTTTTTGTTGGTCTTGAATTACATTATCTGATCAGGAAGGGATCTGTGCAAGGATCCCCTCCAATCAGAGCGGTACGGATTGGAAGTCACCATTGTGACATCCTTGTCCATCCAGTTTTTTCCTCCCTCTTGCGAAGGAGGAAAGAAAAGAACTGAAATGACCGGACCCCATGTCTGTCTAAGGCTGGGCACACACCTTACAACCATCGCAAGACTTTTGTCTTGCGATGGTTGTAAGGTACTTAAAAAAAACGTACGATCTGCCTATCTTGCATAGGCAGATCGTACTTGCGATGATCGCAAGCCACGCCCCCTGAGGGGCGGGCTTCCGATGACCGCAATGCCGAACGGGCAGTGTGCGCTTGCGCACACCGGCCCGTACGGCTGTTATCGTACGGACATGCCACAAACCCGCCGAATATCGTACGATGCTCGGCGGGTTTTCGAACATGTCCGTAAGTCGTGCGACCTTACAGTAGTAGAGGTCGCACGGCTTCCACACACCTTACGATAATCGTACAATCGCAGGATTTCCCGCGATTATCGTATGATTATCGTAAGGTGTGTGGGGACCTTTAGGCTACAGCTCATGTTAAAGGAGAACTATGGGGTCAGTGTTTTTCCCCATAGTTCTCCTTAGGGTAACGGGAGGACACAAACTAGCGTCCTCCCGTTACCCTAAGCTCAGTATACCGCGAGCTACAGCTCGCGGTATATTGAGATGCCGCAGCCGGAGCAGATCCCGACGTAGATGACGGGATCCGCCCAGCTGCGTGAGTGACAGCTGGCTCTGCCTATCTAGAGGCAGAGCCAGCTGTACCGGCCCCCTCCCCCGTCCGTTCCGCCAGTCAGCGCTGGCAGATCGGAGCGGGGAGAGGGGAATCCAGGCCCTCCCCCTGTCACGGCAGAGAGCCGTGACAGGATTGAGAGGTGAGCGAACCTGGTATGTGTTCGCTCACCTCCCGATCTGCTGAGCCGACCTACCTGTGACAGTCTCATTGTCGCAGGTCGGCTAGAACTATGAGGTGAGTGGAAATCACTCATCTCATAGTTCTCCTTTAAGGGTTACATTCAGAGATCGTTCACACCAGCTTGTCCGCTAAACTGCTGTGGATGGGCTCGTGCATTGTGACAGCTCTGAGAGTATGTGTTGTATCGCACCCTGCTGGAACTGTCACTACATTTTTTTAGGGCTGGTAAATATTAAAAATTTTGCGTTCGATTAATTATAACGCACATACCGATCCAACTACATCGGCCTATCCACATACAGCACAGCAATGAAGTAATAAAATGAACTAGGATCACACTAATCCAGCACGTTATTTATCTCACGTGCCCCACTCAATATGGCCGCCGCTTGCGTGGGCCAACTCAGAATAATAACGTGCTGGATTAGTGTGATCCTAGTTCATTTTATTACTTCATTGCTGTGCTGTATGTGTATAGGCCAATGCCTTGGCTGGCGCTCATGCAGAAAGTTTCTTGGGCAAACTCACCGGCCCAAGTGGCTCCGTCGGCTAACGAAGGGGGGAGGAGTCCGGTGACGTCACGGACATCGACGTCACCGGACTCCTCCCCCTTCCCTTCGTTAGCTGACGGAGCAAATAATTTTCATCGATCAAAAAGTTTAACGATTAATCGAGAAAATAATCTTTAATCTCCACAGCCCTACATTTTTTTCTTTAAAAAAACTTTATGTGAAGTGTTCAATGTGTACACTCCATTCAGGTCCCCGTATGGGGGACCTGCGGTGGCATGCACTGCGCTGTGATAAAACGCAGCATGTTCGCATTTTTATCGCAGTACACCAACCATTGCGTTATTGTTTTCTATGTGTCCTTGTCGTGACTTGCGTTGATCTGATGAGGCACAATGCAGGTCACCACTATATGTGTGAACAGGCTCTGAAAGCTGGTCATACCCCAATAACATTTCCTTTGAAAATTTTATTTTTTTTCAAAATGTTCATTTGATTTTCTAATAGTTATTGGGGTCAAATAGACGCAGTGATGAAAAACACAAAGAATCCATTTTTCTTGAGCAAAATTCTAACAGTGAATGTGTCTGTGAAGGTTCATTCATCCGGGTCATGGTATATCTGTAAAAAACAAGTCAAGGCAACTGGGCTTGCTGTATTTTTCTTGAAGACGTTTCAATGGTCATCCAACCAGCTTCCTCAATTCAGAATTGAGAAAGCTGGTCGGATGACAAGTGAAACGTCTTCAGGAAAAATACACCAAGTCCAGTTGCCTTGACTTATTTTTGTACAGATATAACAGTGAATGTGTTTTTCATTCGGGAAACTCCATTTATTCTAAAATCGAATGTGGGAATCAGACAAAATTTTGAACAACACTCGTCAAGTCTCTGATGGCGTTATCAAATGTTCTGAGTTTTTCATATGAACGTCCGTATGAAAATCTACCGGTGAAGGGTCAGCTTAAAGTGACACTAGACTCAGGAGTTAAAGCTTAAAAATATATTCAAGTACCTCAACTATGAACAACAATGTATCTTATTTGTGTATCACTCGGCTGTAGATCCTCCAATCATCTCTGAATTGGTGCTGACACTGTCCTTCCTTCTGGAGGGTGGCTACTTGTGTTCCCCATGGTCCCTGTGTGTGTTGTAAAGTAGTCACCGCTCCAAGCTCACTCCCGGGATGGACTACAATCTCATGTTTAGTTTACTCATTTGAATTGAGATTGTAGTCCATCACAGGAGTGAGCTTGGGTAACACTAGTTCTGATAACCCTGCTGACCACCAGGGATTGCCTTCTCTCTAGAGCAGGGGGTAGGCAACCTCGGCTCTCCAGCTGTACTGAAACTACAAATCCCATAAGACATTGCAAGCCACAGGCATGACTCCAAGAAGCAGTAGCATCATGGGATTTGTAGTTTCAGCACAGCTAGAGAGCCAAGGTTGCCTAACCTTGCTCTAGAGAGAACTACTCTCACTTCCTGTTGTGGCTATCAGATAGGAAAAGATGGGAAATCTTCCAATGGGGACACTATTTCTGTTGACCCTGCCGTCCACCAAGGATTTCCCTCACTTTCTATTGTGGCTATTAGAGGGGAATAGATAAAAAATCTTCCAATGGGGAGACTAGTTCTGCTGACCACCAGGGATTTGCCTTTCTTTAGAAGGATTTCCTCTCACTTCCTATTGACTCTATTGCACAGGAAGTGTAGAGAAATCTCTCCAATGGGACACAGAGTACAAAAAAAAAAATCTGACAAGAGTTGTAACCCGCCTTTACTCTATCCAAAAAAAAAAAGTTTTGGCTTTGGTTCCTCTTTAACCTTGGGGTACATATACGCGTTAGGGTCAGGGATTTGATAAGGGTGTTTTCGAAATAAGTTTAATTTCCATGTTTTCCTCCTGAGCCAAGAACTAACAATTCCTTGCATCTAAAAGCCCAATACCATGGAAAAATGATCTCTATCCATTTTCTACTAATCAATGCAACCGGCCATTCATTAGCCATGTTGAGGTCATTGTCCGATCATCCACAAATATGTCCGATTTCATCCCAGACGTGGAAACTGGTCCCCAAACTGTTCTAAAAATGTTTGTGAATTTATAGATCTGTGGCAGTGCTAGTAGGAGAGGCAGTGGCATATCCAGGGCATGACACATATGGCACATGCCCAGGCACCACTTGAAGGGAGTGGACGGGACTGCTCTGTGGGTCAGTGAAAGTTTGCAGATACACAGAGACAGCTGACTTTTTTCTCTCCCCAACCAGAGACGGTCTGGCCAGCATCCTGATCGGCTCCTGGCAACCAGTGATGTCACTGGTTGCTAGGAGCTGGCTAGGACGCCGCCCAGAGCATACAAGGTTGGTAAGTGCTGGACGGGAAGATGTGAAAGGGCCACAGATATGTGTATGCAGACTGGACACCCTGGCTGGCATCACACCCGGCTCCTGGCAACCAGTGACCTCACTGGTTGCTAGGGGCCAGCCAGGATGCTGCACAGAGCATCCCAGGTTGCTAAGAGCCAGGCGGGGAGATGTGTAAGGGCAAGATGTGCATGCGGACTGGACACTCTGGCTGGCGTCACACCCAGCTCCTGGCAACCAGGGACGTTACTGGTTGCCAGAAGATGGGCGGGACTACTGGGGCGCACTTTATTGTAGACACGCCTAGGAGGAGAAGAAGGAATCTGTTTTGATGTGAATAGGGTATGTTCTCCTTGAGAGAGGTAACCCGTATTAACTGAGTGTGTGTAGTGTATGGACCTGTTTATGGTCCCACTCTGCTGCCTCTCTGGTCACGATGGGGGGGATCGCTCAACAGAAGATCAAATCCTGGATGTGTGGTTGGGAGCGCCTCTTAAAAAAAATGGTCATTTCACTTAAAAGGCTCATCTAGAGCAGGTGCTCTCGCAGGTGGGGGGGGGGGGGGGGGGATAGAAGATCAAATCCTAGATGTGTGCTTAGGAACCCCTCCTCAAAAAATGGTCATCTCACATAAAACTGTGAAGGTTCTCATTCATCCAGGTCATGGTATATGTGTAAAAAATAAGTCAAGGCAACTTGATAACTACGAATTCTGGATGCACGAAGTGCAATGTTGCGTTTATGATGGTAGAGGCTCGGGCCCATACCCAGCTATACTTTTGATGGGGTTTGTTATCCTCACTCTTGTATCTACAACTTTTATATGCAAATGTGTTCAATAAAAACTTATTGCAGAGAAAAAAAATAAGTCAAGGCAACTGGACCTGCCGTATTTTTCTCAAAGACGTTTCACTGGTCATCCAACCAGCTTTCTCAATTCAAAATTCTGATTTGAGAAAGCTGGTTGGATGACCAGTGAAACGTCTTTAAGAAAAATAGTTGCCTTGACTTATTTTTTACATATATCTCACATACAAGTTCATCTAGGTTGTTTATTTAAATTGTTATGTCAGAGACATCCAATGCGTTTCGGGGGAATCAGCCTCCTCCTTTCTCAGGGCCTGAACAACAATATTAAGTGGTGGTAAAGCTGTACTTTATAGCCTGCATTAGGGTGGATGTGTGTGAAACGCATCTGATATATCTAACCACCTAGAAGAACTTTCAAGTGGGATGACTATTTTTTAAGAGGCGCTCCATATCACACATCCAAGATCTAAAAATGTTCACATCAGTGAGCCATAATTATTACCCAATTTCCCACCCTCTGTAATCCCAATATAAAACCAATCTCATCCCTAAACTCTTACATAACGGCTCCCCTTCCCTCCAATGATCACAATGGCCTCCCTGGAGCCAACGGTGACACCTCATTATTCTCCTTGTTTTAGCACATAGTAATGGTGACTCTACCTGCGTCACTCACACAGCAATTAGGTGCCCCGTCTCCCCATGAATGGCTTTGTATTGTCGGATGTCTCTTTCAATTATAGTCGGATGACCCGTACGTGCGTCACTCGCTGCTGCCGGGCACCACGGAGCCTCCTGTCCTTTGTTTCGGTGAAACATAGAAGTTGACAACAGAATTGAGGCCACCTACCCACATCCAGTCACCTCCAGTGGAGAAGTGTTACATCCTATTATAAGACCATGAAGGCCTAGACTTAGGATTTCATGATACCGGCAGTCATCGTCTTAGTGCTGAGAATGATATATTCATTCTAAGGAACAATAATCACATTTTATACATTGCGAGTCCATTGTACTCTGTACCTGAAAATGATTTGAATGTGATTTATAGTACTGGGATTTCCTTATTCCTATCAATGTATTCTGTACTGGGATTTCCTTATTCCTATCAATGTATTCTGTATTGATATTTGTAGGTTCACTGATAGGTAAGAAACCTCAGCAGTCCAGCTGTTGTGGAACTACAAGTCCCACGAGGCATTGCAAGAGTCACAGGCACGACTACCAGAGGCATAGGCATGATGGGGGTTGTAGTTTGACCACAGCTGGAGTGCCGAGGTTGCCTAACCCTAGTCTATTTGCCTATCAATATGTCCGGGTGTGTTTTCAGCAAGAAAGAAGGAGCAATAAAGATCAATCAATATACGCTTCATGCAGATATAAAAGACAGAAATTAATGTAGCTATGCATACTGATATGAAGATAGGCGGACACTGATGTAAAGGGGGACCCTGATGTGAAAGGAGGGGGAATTCTGATGTAAAGGGGGGACTCTGATGTAAAGGGGGCTCCTAATGTGAAAGGTACACACTGATGTAAAGGGAGGATTCTGATGTGAACGGGGTTCCTAATGTAAAGAGGGATTAAGATGTGAAGTGGGGACACTGATGTGAAAGGAGGAGGGAATTTGATGTGAAAGGCGAAGCACTGATTCGAAGGGGGAACCCCACTTTTATGTTTGTTTTTCCATGCGGTTCCCCCTTAAAATATGTTACATTTTAGAGTGGGGTGCCTGGAGATTTTGCATACTTTAAAGGTGCCCATGCAGGGGGCGGGCTTGCGATGATCGCAAGTACGATCTGCCTGTCCAAGATGGGCAGATCGTACATTTTCTTAAGTACTTTACAACCCTCGCAAGACAAAAGTCTTGTGAGGGTTGTAAAGTGTATGGCCACCTTTACAGGGAGCCATGACTGAAGAAAGGTTGAGATACACTGATCTAGGCACCTGTTTTGTGTTGGAAAACATGGCTCCCCTCTGTACTACCTACATGGGTGACAACACTACTACAATGACCGGTGATTGACCTGATTGATTAGATAAATGGGGCAAAAGGCAAAGATTAGTATTGAATGATCACACAATGCTCTACTAATGTGTGTCTGATTGCTCATACATCCTACACCATAGGAAGCCATCTTTGTGTCATCTATTTAATGACCGATTGCCACTCTTAGCAGATAAATAGGAGGAAGTGAACCAATTCTCAGACAATGTTCATTAGCCCTTTAACAAGTGGCGAGAATGTGAAATAGAATATAGAAGTAATGCTGTAATCACTTTTTCTTTAGAGATCGACTCATCAAGCCGTGCCGCAGCCTGTGCGAGGCGGTAAGGAACAGCTGTGCGCCAATAATGGCTTGCTATGGATACCCCTGGCCAGAGATTCTGAAATGTGACCAGTTTCCTATCGATCACGGCATGTGCATCTCCACAATCACAAACGGCACGAGCAATCGGAGAAGTAAGTCATATCTATGGGCATTGCATTGCTGGTCCTCCAGGGCTGGGGTTCTATACCCTGTCACCTTCTATTTCCTGAAAGCTTTTTCTTCCCATCACATCCTGCACTTAGAAATACCTACATCAGCTATAAATATTAATAGATATAAATCATAAGTTAAATAATAGGTATAGGGTAGCATGTGACCTCTGCCAATCTTTGGGTCTGAGCATCCAATCCCCAGACTCTAACTATGTCACATTACGGAGGGGAAGACATCATCAATCCTGTGTAAGCTCCGACACCATCTGATATGGAGCTTGCACAGGATTTGACTCCAAACTCCAACAGAAGAGCAGCAGTGAAGGAAAGTATACAGTAAGTGGGCCCGGAGCTGGGCTTAGTGACAGGGCCTCTTTAAGGAGCTTTTCCATTTTTATGCATCCACTATTCTTTCAAAGTGCTTCTAATGCCTGGCTCTATCACCAGAACCACTGCAGGAGACTCAAATCTTGCTGGAGGTTCATTTTAAGGGAGGATACAAGCGGGGAGACCCTTGAAAAACTATTGGGGGAGAGGGCTATGCACAGAGATAGACAGACACGGTATAACTGAAGCTTTGCTCTAATTCCTGCCTTCTGTTACAGCAGTGCCCAGAGCCAGCTGCAGGGATTGTGAACTCGATGAGGCCAGCAGTGCCAAGGAGATCCTGGATACGTTCTGTGCTAATGATTTCAGTAAGTACGCCGCCTGGCATCCAACACACAGCTGTCACTGGGAGAAATCAAAGCTCGCCGGGGTTATGCAACATTGACGTGGAGATAATATATTTCTTGTAGACCAATCCCGGAACCCCAAATTACAAAACACTGGTACGTTCTTTCCCTATTTCCCTAGCTGTCCAAACTTTCCCAGATGTATGCAGTATATATATATATACAGGTGAAACTCGAATAATTAGAATATCGTGCAAAAGTAATTGCAGTAAGTTCTGCAAAAGGGGCCCAAACCAAGTACTGAGTACATATGCATGCTTGTACTTTTCAGAGGTCCGATATTGTTCTATGTACAATCCTTGTTTTATTGATTGCATGTAATAATCTACTTTTCTGAGGTTGTGGATTTGGGGTTCTTGGGGTTTTCATGATCTGTAAGCCATAATCATCACAATGATGACAAATCACGGCTTGAATTATCTTGCTTTGCATGTAATGAGTCTATCTCATATATTAGTTTCAACTTTTAAAGTTGCATTAGTGAAATAAATGAACTTTGCACGATATTCTAATTATTCGAGTTTCACCTGTATATACTGTATATGTATATTATACCTATATATATTTTTTTTTTTTTAATACAGCCTTGTAGACACTTGACTATCACACCTTGATCTACTGTAAGTGTAGGGCATCATGGACCCGCCCCTGAGGGGATGTTACCATTTGCACTAAAAGTGTAATGATGCAAAGAATGCTACTCTTTGCATCATGATGGCCAAGTGTGTCAAGTGATTGGCCTGAAGACAACAGGAAAGGTAAGTATAAAAAATAAAAAGCATTAAATACTGCCAGAGGGTCCTTAGGGGGTGGGGCTGATGTCGGAGAAGTAAACACTGAACAATAACTTATTGGAAATACTCTCTACTCTCCTTTAAAGCAATCTATTTTTTCCCTTGAATAATCTGGCTGGACAAGTAGGTGAGAAGATCCCAAAACATCTCCGAGATGTTTAAAGATAACTTTTTCAGCCGTTCGCTTAAGCTGCAGATCCATAAAAGGTGCTGAAAGCGGCAGCGTGACTCCAGTCCACATTCGCCTCTGGAAGATGCGTCTTCTCTCCTCCACGTATAGCGATGACAGAGAGGAATATAACTGCTCATTGTATAAATACATCCCAGGCTACCGAGAGACTCGGCTGCCATAAAAGGTGCACAGCCACAGATATTGTATACAGAGCAGATGGGAATGTTATGCTGGGACTTGTAGCCCTCCACATACTAATTAAAGGGTCAGTCCACCCACAAAACTCTTTTAATGATAATGTTTTGGTGAATAATGGAGAGCTGAACCATCAGCTTTACATCTCTTTAGGTTTTTAATGATCAGATCTCTGTCCTGCCAAAGGACACTGATCTCCAATGGCAGAGGAACTCACTTTTAAAGTAAGTCTAATATACACTATATTGCCAAAAGTATTGGCACACCCTGGCCCTACCTCTAACTAAAATGTCCCTTTCGGGTGGACTGTCCCTTTAAGGGCAATCAAAGATCTAACAAAGATATATTTATTTTCTTTTGTAGTTGCCAAAGTTCGCATCACGAAAAGAAACACCACCTTGTCCTCGGTTTCAGACTTCGACATGGATTCCAAGGTGGACATTCTAAAGCACGGCCCGCTCCTCAAGGCTGACCTCTTCCCTCGCCTCCAGCAGTGGCTGGACCTGGATGCCACCTGCGTGCAGAACATCATGCGCGGGACCCGCAGCGGCACTTACGTCATCGGCGGCGACGTGCAGGACGACAAACTGGTAGTGAACAACGCCTACCCCTGGCAGAAGAGGAACAAGAACCTGCATTTCGCTGTCAAGAAATGGAAGCATCACCGGTGCCGATCGTAGAATCTGCAAAGGGGCCCCGTCTCCGAATCGGGACGAGAAATCTGAGGACTGAATACTGAACTGTATATATCCGGGATAACTTCCTGTAACCACCACAAGCAATAGGTGGCTGTCATAAAACTGTACGGTATCTGGATGCTGAGAGCTTCAATGTAAGATGAGTAGAAAAGAGGACCTGTCAGTGATAGATTCTGTAAATGTTTAGAGCAAAGGTCCAGCCAAAAATAATAAAAATAAATAGCCCATTAAAGATCAAATAAAAATATCAGCTTTTGCTGAAATACTCTCAATCCACAGCTATCCTCCCCGCAGTACTTCTTTTCCACCACTAGATGTCGTCTAGGTTGAATGACAACCTACATCTTTTAACAATTTCCTTCCAGCCCAGGCTGTCATGGGCCCATTCTCAGTCTGTGACTGGACAGTGAAAAAAGGAGCAGTGCAGTGATGAGCTTATCTCTCTGTCACTCAGCTCTCTTCTTCTATCAGCATGTTCCATGTAGGCACATGGACTGATTGGCTTCTTGTGCTGCCTCCTACTCTCCTATGCAGGTTTACTGTACAGAGGCTGATACCAGGTCAAATTCAGGTATTTACACTGCATGCATTAAAAACACATACATGTAATTATGTAATCATGAATACAGCGCTGCATTAAAGGAGATCTATGAGGTGAGTGATTTTCACTCATCATAGTTCGAGCCGACGTGTGACATTGAAACTGTCATTTGCTCACTTTCCGATCATCTCCCTGCAGAGAGCTGTGATTGTCAGACACCGCCCCCCGCAGAGATCCCCCCCCCCCCTCCCCTCTCCGATCCTCCAGCGCTGACTGGAGGAACAGACGGGGAGGGGGCGGGCACAGCTGGCTCTGCCTCCTGATAGGCAGAACCCGCTGTCACTCACGCAGCTGTGTGGATCTCAACAGTAATGTTGGGGTCCTTCCCGGCTTCGGCGGTCTAGCATATAGCTTGCTATATACTGAGCTTTGGGTCACAGGAGGACGTTAGAATATGTCCTTCCGTGACCCTAAAGAGAACTATGGGATAAAAAGGTCACCCCATAGTTCTCTTTTAATGTGTATTTTTTATCTGCCTGGAGTTCAGCTGTATCAGAAGCGGGGCCATCCCTACATTGGAACTGTTCTGCTTTAACAAAACAGATAGAACAAAATGTCTTCAATGGTATATTTAACAGACCAAACGGGAGGAAATTAAAGAATTGTTGGGGTTCATGTAATCTTTAAAGAATGTTTCAATGTTCTACCAGGGAACGGTCAATGCAGTTCTAAAAAGAGTATTTTTCCAGCTAGGTAGGTAGGGCCCGCTTTAACAGAAGTGTGGCCCCCTATAACAGAAGTGTGGCCCCCTGTAACAGAAGTGTGCGCCCACCCTGTAACAGAAATGTGCCCCCTGTATCAGAAGAGTGACCCCCTGTAACAGAAGTGTGCGCCGACCCTGTAACAGTAGTGTGCGTCCCTGTAACAGAGAAGTGACCCCCTATATTAGAAGTATGACCCCTGTAACAGAAGTGTGCACCTCTGTAACAGAGGAGTGACCCCCTGTATTAGAAGTGTGACCCCCTGTATCAGAAGTGTGGCCCCCTGTATCAGAAGAGTGACCCCCAGTATCAGAAGAGTGACCCCCTGTAACAGAAGTGTGCGCCCTTGAAACAGATGTATGGCCCCCTGTATCAGAAGCGTGGCCCCCTGTAACAGATGTGTGGCCCCCTGTAACAGATGTGTGGCCCCCTAATGCCCCATTCAGCCTCCAGTTTCATTTACGTTTGACATACCTCACCAACATAACACCGGCCTAAGCTATTCATCATAAAAATCCTATTAAGTGAAATGTTTTCGGGATAAACCGAACATGAAGTTTTAATCTCCTGCTACTGAGCAATTTAACCATTTCCTGGACATCACCTTCTGTCTGTGCACCACATGGGGGGGGGGGGGGGGTGTAGTAACA